TACTAAAATAATAGAACAGTACAAAGACAACTATGCCCTTATAGGGCGGCAAAACATAAAACAACATATATAACACTCAAAAAACATAATAAGATTTGGACTCACATAACTACTGTGATCCCCACCTCCTATCTAACAACTAACATAAAACATCTACTCAGAAAAACATCATAAAACTAATTAATCTTCAACACTTGTATATTTGTCTTTTTGATTAATACAATTTTACCTTACCTCTTCAAAAAAAAAAAAAAAAGAAAGAAGAAGAAATTAGCATATTATGGGACCTTCATGAAAATCTAGGGCACTAGGAGAAACAGGCTTAAAAGTTTGTAAAAAGTTAGTCATTGATTGCTTTAAGGATTTGGATCAATCTTTGTGGAATATTAGAACCATCATTGAGAAGTGTACTGATCTGTATCAACAATTTGCCTTAAACATTCAGTAATCTCACACTTATAGAGAGGCCAACATGGTTGCAGATTGGCTATCTATTCATGGCAATGATGAGCTTTGTATGGGTTCTATTGCTGTTAATAGTGCTTTTAAGCCTTTGTGTTTTGATGATAGCTGGGGAAGGGCTACCCCCAGGATTGTGTAGCCTTTGATCTCTTCCTTCATTACCCAAAAAAAAAATGTTTCCGAAAGCTTTTTTTCATGGATTTCTATCATATTTACCTCAGATTCCTCTATGATAACTCTGATATTCCCTACTTTGGCAAAAACAATTCAAATTCAATTCCTTAAAAACAGGGAAAAAATCGACTATCTACTTTTTCACGTCAAAATTAGCAGTCTCAAACTCCCAATACCTGATGCATGCAACTTATTCTAAAAATTAGCATAAAAATTTGATTTTATTGTATAAGTCTGCCTTGTTAAACATGCATTTGATCCATCTCAGTTGAACTGTTGAAGTCTTAAAATATGCATCAAATCCTCTTAAAACTGAGCTTATTTTGTTTGTGCAAACTGAAATACATACTTCACACCCATAAAAATATGATAGTCCTTGAAAAATCTGACCTTGACAATTTAACACAAAATAAATCGATTATGGAATTGACCGATGGAAAAGCATAAATTGATAATTTATTTTAGCACATTTACAATTTTTATGGTTCGTTCCTTAGCAGGCCCATGTTTTACCTTTTCATTTGGTGAAACAAAGATTCACAAGCATTCATGGCGTAGAAACATAATCAGTATATTCTGACAATAACTTACCTATATAATTGAACTGTCTCCGTTTTCCCTCTCGAACATCAGGCCCTAATCTCTGTTGGGAAGAAGGAAAGGAGCAAGATAAGCAAACCAAACCAACAATAACAGCCAGAATACTCTGAAATATTAAATGCATGTTGTCATCATGGTATTTGTTTGTGTAAAGAAAACCAGAAGAATTGAAGTGTATGGCACCTTAACTAACATCAGAGCGTCAAAAACCTCTCTCTCCAGCGAAGCCACTCTGCAATCCCCAAATGGAGGAAGAAAAACTATTAACTTTTAGCCAATGCCACACTCGCTGAAGGGGTTCAAATACATTAAAAGTTACTGAATGGGAACCTAAGAATTTGCTTTATCTGAGGGTTAGAGAAGGTGGCAAGATCCATTCCCCATCGGACGGCGCGGCGAGCCTCTCGCTTCTTTTCGTTTCGGCTCTTCTTCTCAGGGTAGTCCGAGTCGCTATTGTTTTCTCGAGCATCAAGTGCTACTGAGTCTTCGGGCAACTTGAGACCGTGAGATCGAAAATCAATGTTCCGATAAGAAGAAGGAAGCGTGGCGAATGAAAGCTGCTGAGAATTGGTTTTAATGGTGAAAAAGGACGGGAGAGCGAGACGAAGGAATGTTTGGCGGGAGCAGCACAGCCACAGCTGCCGCTTCTGTGCTCTCGGCAAATGTCTCAGAGGCCCTGTGACCTGAGCCATCATTTGCTCCTCCGATAAATCTCCTCTTTCTCTTGAGAATTGAGATAGTTAAATGGGAGGGATGGATGGAGGGAGCGGGGAGAGTTTTGATTTTTTCCGAACACGGTGAAGCCGAACGTAAGGCTGAGGGTGTCAACTCTCAAAAGCCCACATATCTTATTGGGTAAAATACAAAAACCTCTGAAGTTTTCGACAATCATAAAAACCTCCCTTATAATTTTATTTTAGCAAAACCTTCCTTCTATTTTTGACAAAATCAATAAATACTTCCTTTCCCTCAATGACCAAAACAGAAAAGTTAAAGAGATGACCATTTTTTTAAAATACATATTTTATCCTTTCTCGAACATTGTTCATCTTCTTCCTCACATGCACAACGGCAGAATGGCGGTGCACTCCCTCCTCCAACCTTCCTTCCTCTTTAATTCCCTCTGATTTTCTCTCTCTCCCCAACAACGGCAGAATGGCAGTCCTTTGTTCATCTCTGTGTCTCCTCTTGCTCTCCCTTTCTTCTTCTTTTCTCTGTTTGAGGCTTCCACACCAAACACTTTGTTCCTCCCCATCACAAAAGATGGTGAAACCCACCAATATGTGACAACGTCCTATTGCTGGTAGTAGAGATAGCCCGAGGAGATGATATGGGACTATTGATGTACCTGAATCCTTTATTGTTCAAAGTGCCATTGTCTCCCTCTCTGATATGTTTCTTGTAGGGAATATCTACATCCGATGGGATCTGCTTCACCGTTGCAATGTTGTTCGTTTTTCTAGTTTTCTTCTTTCCGCATAGAAGGAACAAAATGAAAAGAATCAATATGCTTCTTGAAGGGAATCTCTACATCCAACGGGAGCTGCTTCACTATTGCAATGTCGTTCGTTTTCCTAGTTTTCTTCTTTTAGAAGGAACAAAAGGAGAAGAATCAATAGGAATGCAAACACTGACCCGATTGCAATTCCTACAATAGCTCCTCCAAACAACTTCTTCTTCTTCCCACCATTGTCACTGTTGTTGGCACCACCATTGTTTTCTGTGTTTGTCGACGGCGTTGGTTCGCCAGGACAAGGGCTAAGCGGTGAACCATACAATGAATTGCTTAGAAAGGAACTAGTCGTAAACTTCTGGAATTCCTTTGGAATCAAACCGTTCAATTGATTGAACGAAACATTGAACTGTACAAGATTCGTAAGGTTCAGCTCATACCGGGGAGTACAGGAGTGCAATAGGGTTTCTCAAGCTAGATTTTGGCAGGAGGCAAGTAGCTGGTTGCAGTGTTTACAAGACCTTGGTTCGCCATTAATTATCGACGAACACTAGTTTAAGGGCGAACACCGGCAGCAAGACGTTGTCACATATTGGTGGGTTGCACCATCTTTCATGATGGGGAGGAAGAGAGTGGCTGGTGTGGAAGCCTCAAACAGAGAAAAGAAGAAGAAAGGACTGACCTTCTAACATGTCTCCGGAATTCAACCTGGAAGAGCAGTAAATTTAATCTGACCAACCCAAGGCCTCCTTCCTTCTCACCAAAATGGAATCCGAAATAAATCAGTTAAGAATAGAAGCCCTAACGCTCGAGCTACTCCCCCAAATCCAAAAACCACCGATTCGAATAGGAAAAATGCAACCTTTCAAGCAAAATGAGATCAAAGAGCCCTAATTATACATAGATTTGACGATATCAAAACAACCCAGAAAATGCCAATTAAAAGAAAAAGGAGAATGGAAAGAAAGTAATATTCAAACAATTTCCAACTTTCAATCATTCATGGATGTGAATCCAAAAATCATCGATCCAATTGAGAGAAGAATGAAAACTTTTAAAAGGAATAAATCAGAAACCCATCTTCAGGCTCCAAATTCGTAAAGGTAGGAAGAATCCAGAGAGGGGGGGGGAGGGGATGATGAATAGTGCTATTCCATGTTGGTGGAGAAAGAGAGAGAATTAGAGGGAAAGTAAAGAAGAGGGAAGGTTGGAGGGGGAGTGCACTGCCATTCTGCCCTTTTGTGTCCTGAGGAAGAAGATGAATAGTGTTCGAGAAAGGGTAAAATAGATACTTTAAAAAAATAATCATTTTTTTAATGTTTTTCGTCTTTATCATTGAATGAGGGGAGATATTTATTAATTTTGTCAAAAATAAAAAGGAGATTTTTGCTAAAATGAAACTATAAGAAAGGTTTTTATGATTGTCAGAAACCTCATGAGAGGTTTTTGTATTTACCCTATCTTATTTGATCAATGATGCTGCGTTTGGTTTGATAAAAAATAAAAAACAAAATTATGATTAAGAGTTTTCCCTCAACATTCTAGTTCAGTGTTTCTCTCCTATTTTCTATCAAACCAAACATAACCTAAAAGCTTGATTGATCAAAGTCCGCATTGCCGTTTTTGGGCCTAAGTAGAAGTTTTCTTCCGGGCCCACCCTGGGCCAAGGCTTGAACAGCCCAGCCTTCAAAGAGATGGTGCTGGTGATCTGTGTCTGTGAGACTATGACGACTAGTGACCTCTAAAGTCCAAAGCAATAACCTACTGAACAGCTTAAGCTCTAAAGAAGACAACCAGTTGGTGAACTTATACCCCAAGCCCCAAGGTGTGACGTGCGAACTGTGCTTTATGAATGGAAGCAATGTGGATGTGACTGTGAGTGAATACAGAATGGAGGCCGATGAATACAGAGAAAATCCAATGAAGGTGGTGAAATATGAAAGAGAAAAGTGTATGTTTTAAGGTTTTTTCTTTGATAAAAAAAAGATTTAATTAAAGATATTTTTTTAAGGGATTATAGCTGATAAGGGCAACTTTTGAGTCCTAATATCAATAAAAATAATCCTTTTAATAAGGACAAAAACATTGTTCATCTTCTTTTTCCTCCAAACCGCTAAACAAATCTCTTTCAAGATTAATAAATATTAATCATAGATCTCTACTTTTTTGTTCTTCACTTTAGGTTTTTTTTTTTGAAAGTATTCCCTAAGCCTTAACCCTTGTTTTGGTATGCAAATAGGATTTCAATGGATTAAACACTATTTTGAAGAAGAAATCCATCAACTGAATTGCAAACCTTCTCATTCGATCGATGAAGGCCACCGTGAACCAGTACCTTGGAACAATACTACATGGAGTGACGAGAGCCTATGCCCTTGCAATTCTAAAGACCCCAATTGTGTTGAAGATGTCCTCAACTTGCAAGACCTTGGACATGCTAGATGCATCCTACTTCATATTCTTGGCGACAAGGGTTGTGTACCGAGCAGTCTTGGGCATTTTCTTACACCAGTAGTAAGTTAGAGTAGCAAGCAATGCACCAAACATCAAAACAAGGCGCCATATGTAATCGGTCTGTGAGACAGTTGAGGCACTGACATCAATTTCGTAAGCTGGAGAGGAGTTCTTGGCCTTAATTGCAACAAATGATGATTGAAACCACTCCACCAGCTAAGATCTCAAATCCTTGCATGGTAAAGACGGCAGCAATGAAGGCACCACGAGTCTTCTTATTGGCATGCTCGAAAATAATCGTGGCAAGAAGTGGGTAGTGACCACCAATGCCAAACCCGTGCCAGAAGCGGAAAAAAGAGAGGGTCGCCATTATGTCTTTTGGAGCACTTCCAAAAGAAAGCCTTGAAGCAAAAGAACGACGTTGAGAAGAAGAATCATTTCTGATTTATTCTTTTGGTTCAAAATGCTAACATGGTCCATTCTTATTGGTGGGTTCGCGCATCTTGTGAATCCACAGGTTCACAGGATGCGAACTCAGGAATGAGAAAGAGACCGGAGACCGGAGGTGGGGACATTTGTTTGGTGGTCTGAACGAGGAAGGAAATGAACAATGTTTCTACCCTTTTTTGATATTTAAAACAAAATTACTCTATTCTAGAAATTATGTTAAAAAAATTATTTTTATTGATAATAAGATCCAAAAGTTGCTTTTATCAACTATAATCCCTTAGCTTGGCTAAGATAGCATAAGGACAGCCATAACTTGGGCCAAATTGATTCTTCTTCTTCTTTTATTATTATTTTTTTTATATCTTTTGAAGGGCGACCGAAGAGGGGTAGCTCATCCTCCAATCCAGGTGCAGGTGGGATTGATCCCAAGTCTCCATTATAACCATCAAGTGGTCTTATCAACCAGCTGGTTAGCACGTTGCACTGATTCAGCCTCTTGGAAATTCGAACACAAGACAAACTCATCTTCGGGAATAGTCAAACAGGTACAAGATAAAGAAAGAGAAGGGTCAACCTAACCCAACCCAAAATTAAAATGGGTTTATGGGTTCATAAAATCCCAAGCCTAAGTCAATTTTTGATTGGGTTTGGGTTAACCTGGCCCAAATTGCCCCCACTACTAATTAGTGGAGACTTTAGACAATGCTTGAACAGAGTTGGGATCTCCTCCCAACAAAAATTGTCCCAACATGATCTGTATCCATATATCTTACCATAAGACTGAAACCCACCATATATGAGATGTATGAGCACAAATCATGTTGGAACTTTTTTCTTTTTTTTGTTAGAAGAGATCCAGACTCGCTTAGACAACAGTGTAATGTGATTTTTTTAAGTAAACACGGCAGAACTAGAATTGAGATTGTGGATTAGGATGAGCTAAGGTTCAGTTTGGAAGGCGTATAAATACAAATATCTAGAATAAAAAACCTTGTATTTTTATATTATTTTAATGGAATTAAAAATAACTACATTGTTCTCAAAAAAAAAAATCAAAAATAACTTCGTTCACATAGATTAAAATGATATGGAGGGTATGTCCTTTGCAGAACTGAAATAAGAAATAAATTTGATAAAACCACACAAGAAATGGAGCACACAAAAGTCAAATCCAATATTAACCCACCCACTACGCACATCCATAATTTACACATTTGGATCATTGCAAATTATCCATATTTCAAAGTGAAGTTGTAAATATAGACAAGTAGACAAGATTTGGGACAGCATTGGATGTTACCATATATTCGGATCTGTCCTAAATGTACGAATAAACTTTATATACGTACCTCTATAGGCATAAAATGGGCCAGCTTTAGAGCAAACCATCCAAATTTAGGTCCACATCTGAATATGGAGGGATAGAGTTTTGGATGAGTGATAATGGTCAGAAATTAGATA